CATTACCCATTCAAGCCGTCTCCAACCATTATTAGTCTCAAAGTGGATTCCTCGTCATCGAACGAGTATGAACGGTTCATTGTCCTTTATAGCCAAGCCTCTTGGCATTGCGAGCAATTAAAAAATGTACAAGTAACACATCTACATCAGAATCAATTAAGTAACCTCAAAATTAGCATTTCACATTGTCTGTACGCGTCTACAACATCCAGAAACAGACGAGTATCAGCCAGCTCGTGATTGGCAAACAGCTGAGGTACTTCTGTGACACTCGCAATTTGCAACGATCTCGCTTCAAAAAGCCTACTCTGATGAAAAGCTTATTTTCTAGTTCTAGCGTCATCACTAGCCAATGCACACAATAAACTGTAGTAAATATTTACTAAATTGGCCTTTGGGGAAAAAATACAACTGACAATTTCTCGGTTCAGCGGCTTACCCTACAGTCCCTCCCAACTTTATTTGGTGTTCACGGATGGGACCGATTTCAATAAATGTCAGATTATTTCACAAAACGATAAACTTCGTCAATGAAATTTACGGGGTTTTGTGAGAAAGACAATTAGATTAAGATTTCTCTCTGATATTTAAATAATAAAGCTGCACCCGTTTTCAACAGATGAACAGAATCTTTATTCAGACAATAAAAAGCAGTGGGTGTACACACATTGCGAAGGAGTAGACAATCAGTTTCCCCTTAGTTAGTGTTTACCACCTCATCTAAATAGGAACATCCTTCTACCCCTCCCCCCAAAAAAGAAGAATGTCCTTCCAATAAGTTGACTAATGGAGAACCGAACTAAGAAAGCACTCTTGGATCTAGAATGTGAATAGGCTTTGTCAGTGGACGGCGTCACAACGTGACCTCTATTCCCTGAAAGTATTGGTTAGCTGTCACTTTCAGTTAACGTCATAATCGGCCAGCCAAAAGTATTCCAGTTCTAAAACGTTAAACCGGGATGCTTTATCTAATGCTAAAATATTCTCTCGAGCAGAAAAGACGTCACCTACTAAAGAGAACAACGAATGAAGTTACTAACACAAAGTAATGTTAGTAACTTTTCCAGACAACATATCTCCAATAATCTTTTATTACCGTTTTTTCTAAAACACCCATCCCCAGTGCGTTAACAATAGGACAAACTACAAAGGCTATATAAACCAATACAACAAGATATTCTTGAATCAAGCATGCTGATAAGCATGGACATAGTTTGTGGCTACCTTATTTCCAGTGTGAAGACCTGGGACATATTTTACTTCCAATACTGAGCGACACTAACAGCTCTAAAACAGTTTAAATTACAATAACCCACTATATAACAATTTCTAAATAATCTGACAAACAAATAAGAAAACAAAATTTGTTAAAACCTTATCCATTTATAAAATTAATGAATATAATAAAAACGCACTTAAGTTGTCTTAAACTTACTCAAAATAAAGATGTTGCTTCTTCATTTTCTTTTTTGCAGCTGGGCAGGTCTTCAAATCTCGATTCCTATGGCAGTCCAATGACAGATTAGATTTAGGAAAACGTAGCAGAGAAAGATCACTGTACTGTATGATCTGTCTTTGTCTGGTCATTTTCTAAGTAAAATGTAAAAGGTGTCATGTACAATAATAAACCGTAAATATGAAACTCACACTGAGGTACAGCGAAACTAGAACAATGTAATACTTTTATCGTTCCTGCTCCGGGACCAAAAAAAAAAAAAAACAAGGCTAAAACCTAGGATGTCTGCCGTACCTAGATGGGAGCTTTTTAAATATTTGTTTAAATGAAATTAATATATCTTTTTAAGTTTTGAATTAAGAATTAAGTTCACTTAATTTTAAGACTTAGATATTTATCCGAGTTTATGATGGTTATCTAAAGTGTTTAGAATTCAAGTACCCTACTACAATTTAGTCCCTACGCTCATTCAGCAAAGATAAACACATTTATATTGTTGCGACAGCGGAGGTCACGTGACGCTAGTAACACGTCATGCGCTTCTCGAACGTTCACGTCCCTTCCTGAAATCTCGAGAG